AAGGAAGAGCAGAGAGAGGGAAGGAGGGAGGAGGGTGGGGTCTCCGTGTGTGATATACCTTTTGGGGACAAGGTGCAATTCTAAGAGGGACTTAACCTAACAAATGCAATCAGTGTAACCTGGTTTCTTATGCCCTCAATGAATCCCCAATAATAAAAAAACAAAACAAAACATGATTATAGTTGTCCTATATGTGATCTGTGTTTATGAAGTCATAATGATGCTAACAATGAGTGTTAATATAAGACAATAGTGATATAAATATGCTGGGTAAACTGGAGTGTGTTTGTGAGTGGGTGTGTGTTTAGAATGTTTCCAGGAGACTGCCTTTGAAGAGTGTGATGATAAGAGATGGCACTGCAAGTTGCAAATAAACACACACATACACAACACACAAACACATACATACATATAGACCTATTAGTGGGATTCATTTTTTTAAAACATTGTGTATTATTTAGGTTGAAATTAATTTTTGTAAGCACAGTAATATTTTGAGTCTATAAAGCACTAAATAGTTATATTTGGCATCACTTTATCGTTTCTATTTGTATTGATTATCCTGTCTGCTAATATGCAGGTAACTACAGATTTATCTTAATTGTTAGCTTGTAGGAGAGTTATATGTATGTGTAATGTGGCAGTTCTCTCTAGTGTACTCTTGGCTCTGTAATTTATACTTATAAGAGTGTTAGGACACCTTCATCATGCTTCATGTAACCCTGAACTGTTACAATAAAAGTGGCATTTTTGTCCATTTCCATGATTTATAACTTGTTTCTTTTTTTAACTTCAAAATATTAATTAAAGGGGTACAAATGTTTTTGTTATATGGCTATCTTGAATAATGCTTAAGTAAGGACTTTTGGTATTTTGTTACTAGAATAGTGTTCTTTATACCCGACAGGTAAATTTTTATCCCACTGTTCCCCTTTCTTATTTTCTCATGTCCTTTATATCACTCTGTGCTGTGTGTACCCATTTTTTAGCTCCCACTCATTAGTGAAAGCATGTTTTTGTTTTTCCATTCTTTAGATACCACTTAGGATAATGGTCTCCAGTTCCATTAGAGTTGCTGCAAATGACATTATTTCATTCCTTTTTATAGCTGAGTAAAACTATATATATGTATACACACACACAAAATGTATACATGCCAAAAAATGTATACATGTTTTAAGTAAGGAAAAAACTGTATTACAATTGTAATACTCAATATATACCAAGAACAAAAGATGAACACCTGTCACACTGAGCCCCTCTTACAATGCAGAAGTCAAATGTGACTTGAGTATTACAAATTTAGTATAGTTTTTTTCTTTCTTAAAATGTGTATACACATTTTTTAGCTCCCTCTTTGTGTGTATGTGTGTATCACATTTTCCTTATCCACTCATGAAGTGATGAGCGGTGTCTTTTTGATAAACTGACTTCATTTCTTCTGGGCAGATACCTGGCAGTGGAATTGCTGGATTGAACTGTAGGACTACACTTACTTCTTTGAGGAATTTTCTAACTGGTTTCCATAGAGGTTGTACTAATTTGCAGTCTCACTGACAGTGTGTAAAATTTCCTTTTTTTTTTGTAGCCACACCAGAATTTGTTGTTTTTTGACTTTTTAATAATGGCCACTCTGATGGGGGTAAAGTGCTATCTTGTTGCAGTTTTAATTTGCATTTCCTTGATGATTAGTCATGTTGAGCATCTTTTCATCTTTCTGTTGGCTATTTGTCTATTTTCTTTCCAAAACTTCAATTCATATCTTTTGCCCAATTTTTGGTGTTTTACTTTTTCTGCTTTGTTTGTTCTTTGCAGATTCTGGATATTCGACTTTTGTTGGATGTATAGTTTGCAAATATTTTCTTCAATTTTGTAGGTTGTATTCACTCTGTTGATTATTTCCTTAGCTGTGCAGAAGTTTTAAAATTAAGTCCCACTTATTTATTTTCTTGTTTTTTTTTTTTTTTTTTTTTGAGACAGAGCCTCAAGCTGTCCCCCTGGGTAGAGTGCCATGGCTTTACAGCTCACAGCAACCTCCAACTCCTGGGCTCAAGCGAGTCTCCTGCCTCCGCCTCCCAAGTAGCTGGGACCACAGGCGCCCGCCACAACGCCTGGCTATTTTTTGGTTGCAGCCGTCATTGTTGTTTGGCGGGTCCGGGCTGGGGATTCGAACCCGCCACCTTAGGTGTACGTGGCTGGCGCCTTAGCCGGTTGAGCTATAGGCGCCGAGCCTATTTTGTTGTTTTTGTATTTGTCTTTGGAGTATTAGTCATAAATTATTTGCCTAGACAAATGTCTAGAAGAGTTTTTCCTATGTTTCTTCTAAAATTTTTATACTTTCATGCCTTACATTTAAGTCTTTTATCAATCTTGAATTAATTTTTGTGTATGGTGTGAGATAAACAGCTTGTCTCATTCTTTTGCACTTTCCAGTTTTTCCAGAACCATTTATTGACAAGAGCTTCCTTTTCCCAGTGTAGATTGTTGTCTGTTTTGTTGAAGATCAGTTGGTTTGTTATTTATGTCTTATCAGCTAAAGTCCGGGAAGAGATTGACCGTGTGGTTGGAAGACACCGGAGTCCCTGCATGCAGGACAAGAGTCGCATGCCCTACACAGATGCTGTGGTGCACGAGATCCAGAGATACATTGACCTTGTTCCCACCAACCTACCCCATGCAGTAACCTGTGACACCAAATTCAGAAACTACCTGATCCCCAAGGTAAACTTGTGTCTCCTTCACTGCACCTCAGTACTCTTGAAATTCCCATATTTCCAGTATAGTCCCCAAACTCTGCCAGCACAAGATAAGAGAAATACAAAACTCAGATGTGTAACAGCTTGATGGACTTTGTGCTGTTTTCAGATTGGAGCTATAAAGCTTTATAACAGGGCTTGGTGTCTGGCAATGTGTGTCTACCAAGTGTGTGCTGCCTCTTTAATTTTTTTTGGCTGTTATTAGCCTTTTAAACTTTCAGATAGGCTCAGCACCTGTAGCTCAAGCAGCTAAGGTGCCAGCCACATACCCTGGAGTGGGCAGGTTTGAATCCAGCCCGGGCCTGCCAAAACAACAATGACAATTATAACCAAAAAAAAAAAAAGCCAAGCATTGTGGTGGGCACCTGTAGTCCCAGCTACTTGGGAGGCTGAGGCAAGAGAATTGCTTAAGTCCTAGAGTGTGAGGTTGCTGTGAGTTGTGATGTCACGGCACTCTACCCAGGGTGAACGTAAGACTCTGTCTAAAAAATCAAAAAAACAAACAAATAAAAAAACCTTTCAAATAAATGTTAAAAGTGTCATTTTGAGCCAGGCATGATGGCTCACACCTGTAATCTCAGCACTTTGGGAGGCTGAGGTGGGATGATCGCTTGAGCCTAGGGGTTCAAGACCAGCCTGAGCAACATAGCAAAACCCCATCTCTACATAAAATAGAAAAATTAGCTGGGAATGGTGGCTTGCACCTGTAATTGTAACTACTCAGGAGGCTGAGGTAGGAGGTTTACTTGAGCCCAGGAGTTTCAGGATGCAGGGAACTCTGATCACATCACACCACTGCACTCTAGCCTGGCTGACAGAGCAAGACCTTGTCTTTAAAAAAAAAAATATCATTTCGTTAATTTCCCAAAACATATATATATATATATATACATGCATATATATACATATGTATATATATTTCTTATTTATAACATTTCATGTAAATATTAACATTTTGCTAAAGAATTATCAATGAGTTTGATTATGTTGCCCTCCTCACATTATTGGCCATAATATAAAATCAATAGCACTACATTATAATATCTTTTCAAATGAATATGTATGTGTCCATATATATTGTATGTAATTGTAATTGATATATATACATGTATATATCTAGATGTTAATCTACCTGTTTATCTGCATCTATGCAATCTATCATACTTAACACTTAAATACATCAGTATGTAACTATCAAGAACAAAAATTTTCTCCCACACAACAATACTAGCATTCAAACTCAAGGACTTTTCATTGATACAATAATATTATCTAATAGCTTATAATTAAATTTCACAGTTATGCTAAAATACCTTTTATAGCTTTTTTGGGTGGACTTTTTGTAGCACAATCAAAAAATAAGCCTGTAATTTGGTCATCTTGTCCCTTTAGTCCCCCTTAATTAAGATCAGTTTCTTTTCCTTTGTTTCACTTCAATATATTGACAGTTTTGAAGACAGTCCTTTTATCATGTAAAATGTTGCTAGTTTTGTTTTATGTGAGTGTTTTCTTAGAGACTAGATTCCAGGTGTACATTTTTTGCATGAAAATTATATTGATAGTATTATTATGTATGTCCCACTGCATCTCATGTGTGTTCCATACTTAGTAAGGGAGGTTTGGCTAGATCTTTTTATTGCTGAAGTTCTGTTTTTCATATGAAACTAATAAAAAATATCTATGACATGGTACTTTAAGATGTTGTGAATGTCAGTTTCCAAAATAATTCACCCAAAAGTTTTAACATTAATTGATGATCCTTCCCTGAATTAATAAACTACCTAAATTGTTGGAAAATTATGATTTTTCTAATTTTATCATCCCTTCTATATTTTTAAGGGAGGATAGATCTATAATGAAGAGTGGTGTCATATTTTTAAATTGAAAGAAACATATTGCATCTCAATGATAAGCACTAAATAGATGGTAGTGTATCATCCCAGAAATAATTTTTAGTTAAATCAGAACTTCATTTAAAAAAGGCCTATGAACAGATTCCACATGTTCTTGATGCTTGAAGAGTCACCAGGGGCTTCTGTTTTAAACCATAATTCATATGTGAGAACTGAAGTGACAGGGACTGATCTACTGTATAAACGTGGTCATAAACAGGGGGATTCAGAAATCTTTCCTCCCAAGTACCCACATACGCAGGACTTCAAATGCTATCAGAGGGCACCTCTTGGTGAGATCACTGCTCTTGGCCTTAAACTCATCCCTGCTTGTTACTAGGCCTTTCTGGCTGTCACTACTCTTTGGAGTGGCAATGGAGTGGCAATGTTTCCAAAATATCAAAGAGATTGCACTAGGTGATTTTCGTCATTTCTTTAAACTTTTTGATTCAGTTTATCTGTTCTGTTATTTCTAGGGCACAACTATAATAACTTTACTGACTTCTGCACTGCACGACGACAAGGAATTCCCCAACCCAGAGATGTTTGACCCAGGCCACTTTCTGGATGAGTGTGGCAACTTTAGGAAAAGTGATTACTTCATGCCTTTCTCAGCAGGTAATAGAAATTCACTTATAGTTGTACCAAGATGAGCTAGATCTTGTATGATATCTCCTCCAGGGTCTGGTGGAATTCCTTTGTACAAGATCAATAGCACCAGTCCCAATGGCCTTCTGATATCCCTGCATATGACACATCCTCATTATTGGGTCAAATTAGTGGGGTTTTGGGTATTGATCCAGTTTTCCAAACTGAGAAATCTAGCTGATAGGTTAATTGAATTCTGTCTCTAGATATATTGCTGAACTACCCAACAGCTCCTCTTAGAGGGTAAAACTCATTTAGACTTACTTCACCCACTATGAGAAAGGTTTCTAACTGCACAACTTTGAGTGTTTCCTCTGTGGTATCCTTCACAAGATTCTATAGCCTGAGGAGATCACAGAGATCTTAAAGACATAATGACATAAGACACAGGTGTTGAAGGAAGTATTAATATAAGAGAAGTACTTCTTAGACAAGTAAGTCAGCATGAGATAAAGCTCTAAAATTCAAGTTGTTTTGGAGACAGATGAAAAGTGAATATGCTGAGACTAGAGTATAGAAAAATGGAAAAATGGAAGGAGTGGTATGAAATGTCAGAATGGGAACGGAATGTGAAGGATCAGGTCAATGCCATTTGGACATTATTCCATAGGAGAGATAAGAGAGCCACTTAAAGTTTTGTTTTGTTTTTAAATTAATTAATTAATTTTTTTTTTGGTGACAGGAGCCTCAAGCTGTTCCCCTGGGTAGAGTGCTGTGGCATCACAGCTCACAGCAACCTCTAACTCCTGGGCTCAAGCGAGTCTCCTGTCTCAGCCTCCCGAGTAGCTGGGACCACAGGCACCCGCCACAACACCTGGCTATTTTTTGGTTGCAGCCGTCATTGTTGTTTGGTGGGCCCAGGCTGGATTCGAACCCACCACCTTGGGTGTACGTGGCTGGTGCCTTAGCCACTTGAGCCACAGGCACTGAGCCCACTTAAAGTTTTAAAGTGAGGAAGAGATATGTTTAGACACATGCTTTTCAAAGTGTGCTAGGGAGAAAAATCTTTGGCTGAATGTTAGGCAAGAGGTATAAAGAAAAAGTGTATGAGTCTCCTCCTCTCAACCCTTCCCCTTCAATCCACTGGACAAGAAATGTGAGAGTCTATTTTTAGAATAAGGTTGATGGAAAGTTCAGATGTCCCCAAATCAGTTATAATGTGGGAATATTCAGTGAAGTACATGGTATAGAGCTGATCTTCCATAAATATTTACTGAATGTATGGTACCTAGTCAAATAAGATATGATAGTAAGTGTATCTGTCCTTCCTCCTTCTGTGTGTCTAACCATCCTTCCAACCATTCTGTCTTTGATTCATCCATCTATTCAGTCATTCATCAGATAGCTACTACATAGTTTTTGTGACAGTTCACGATATAGTGTTAAAAGATCAAATCCTCTATGTTTTTTAATTTCAGGAAAACGAATATGTGTGGGAGAGGGCCTGGCCCGAATGGAGCTGTTTTTATTTCTTACCACCATTTTACAGAACTTTACCCTGAAATCTCTGGTTGACCCAGAGGACATTGACACCATCCCAATTGTCAGTGGACTTGCCCGTGTGCCACCCTCATACAAGCTCTGCTTCATTCCTGTCTGAAAAAGGGTAGACCATCTGCAAGATGCTGTGTTGTCCACAGTTTCCCTCTGGAGCATGGATCTCCTCCTTCCCACTTTGGAGATGCCTTCTCTGATCTCTCACATCTCCCCATTCTTTTAAGATCCAGTGAACATCTGTCCTCCTCCAACCCAATGAGAGCTTTTTGAGTCATTGCACCAATATACCTGCTATTCCCTACACTCTGTACCTTATGGCCACAACATATGCTAATATTTACCTCGTACTGAATTTGTAATATGATATCACTATAAAACAGAGAAACATGATTAGTGTATGACATTCAGAGCCATTTCTCTTTTATATGTTCTAAATAAAAGGGTTTTCAGTTTTCTTTCTTTGGTGCATAATGCAAGTGAAAAATGAAAAAATAGAATCTCAAGAGGTCTTGCTGGTTCTTATAATAATAAGCACAGAATGGGACAAAAGGGAAGTATGTAGGAAAGTTTTTTGGCTGAGCATCACTGTGAGTTACTGGAGGTTTGGATTTGAAACAGAAAAACTATGTCCAGGAATAGCTACAGCTTGTAGGGTTATAGTAGGATGATTAGCTATAGGAGGAATGAATATTAAGTGCTAGAGTTTATGCCCTGCTTTTCTGTTACTGTGAACATAAGATAAATACAGTAGAATCTCCATAGTTGACCACCTCCTTAAGTTGATTTGATTTTTATAGATTGGATATGCACCACATGTACATATCAGAACAATAGGCCTGGTTCCTTATGTTGACCACCTCTGTATGTTAACCAGTTTGTTACAGTCCTTTCGGTGGTCAACATACAGAGGTTCTACTATATTTGGAATTTTTTTACTTCATATTGATATAGATCAAGTTGAATATATGCTTTTATATTCCTAGTCATGTTCATGATTGTTATTTTTCTTTTTGAACAAGAATAAAGTCCATATTAACCTCATGAGGTTTGTTATTTTTCTTTTTTTTTTTTTTTTTTGAGACAGAGCCTCAAGCTGTCCCCCTGGGTAGAGTGCCGTGGCATTACAGCTCACAGCAACCTCCAACTCCTGGGCTCAAGTGAGTCTCCTGCCTCCGCCTCCCAAGTAGCTGGGACCACAGGCGCCCGCTGCAACGCCTGGCTGTTTTTTGGTTGCAGCCGTCATTGTTGTTTGGCGGGCCCGGGCTGGGGATTCGAACCCGCCACCTTAGGTGTACGTGGCTGGCGCCCTAGCCCGTTGAGCTATAGGCGCCGAGCCTGTTATTTTTCTAATAAATTTTCCTTCACATATTTTTAATGCTGTGGTCCTATAATCAGCAGCATTACATCATCTCTAAAGCTTAGACAACTGACTATCTTGTACATATCAAATTCTAGTCATGTTTTGTCCTTCCTTCTTTCTTGAGTGTGTGAAATGAGAAATGCCATCACCCATTAACCTTTCTCCAGCTTATCTCCAAGAGAAAGCCAAATTTATGCTTGACATGCATTTGTAAGGCAACACATATGTATAGATTTACCTATAGACATATATGTGTGTGCAGCAACATACAGTCACATAAAACATATTATATGAACATATGAGGTTAAAAATGGTTCTTTAGGCCAGGTGCTATGGCTTGTGCATATAATTCTAGCAATTAGGGAGGATAAAGTTGGAGGATTGCTTGAGGCCAGGAGTTCAAGAGCAACCTGGGCAATATAGCAAGATCCTATCTCTACAAAATATTTTTAAAATTAGCCCAATGTCGTGGTGTGTGCTTGCAGTCTCACCTGCAGGTGGGAGGCTGAGGTGAAACAATTGTTTGAGCCTAGGAGTTGGGGGCTGCAGTCAGCTATGAGTGGACCACTGCACTCTAGCCTTGGTGACCAACAGAGATTCCAACTGAAAAAAAATGGTTCTTTGTTAGCTAAATCCAAATTGTACTTGAGCCCTTCACCCAGGAGTTATGCTATATAACCCTACATTGTGCCCATTAGGTGAAAGCACATCAACCCCCCCTGCCTTCTTCCATCTCCTCGCTCCTCTCCACCCCCCATTTGAATGTAGTTGTGTTTTCCTCTCATGTGGGCATGTAGTTGTTTATTTACTGGCTTCACACTAGTATTGAGTACATTGGATGCTTGTTTATCCATTCTTATGCTACTTTACTTAGGAGGGTGTTCTCCAAATCCATCCAGGTAAATATAAAAGGTATAAAGTCTCCATTTTTTATGGCTGAATAGTATTCCATGGTATACATATATCATAATTTATTTAACCATTTGTGAGTTGATAGGCACTTGGGTTGTTCTACATCTTGGTGATTGTGAATTGAAGCTATGATAAACATTCTAGTGCAAATGTCTTTATGATAAAATGAATTTTTTTATTCTGTGTAGATACCTAGTTATGGGATTGTGGGGTCCAATGGAAAGTCTACTTTTATGGGCAAATGATTTTATTAGGCATACTACAGAAGATATCAAAAAGGCTACTAAACATATGAATTACCTCAAGAATGAAAGTACTAATAGAACTGTGTTTTATGTAGTAGTAGCAATAAAATAGACATTTCCTTATTTAACCAACATAATATAGAGCAATTTTTAATCTAGTGTACCATAACTATGTTGAGTTTAAAGGAGAGAGTGAGCAATAGTTGCATTAGGCATGCTGCCAAAGTCACCCACCAGTTGGAATAATGATGCTCTTAGGTCAGATTTTGGTCAAGATTTTTGGAGAAGCTGCTGATTGTGAAATTTCAATCACACAATGATCTTTTTAAGTGAACAGTGTAGCTATTAAAAGAAGTAATCATTTTATGATGGTGATATGGAGTTTTTTCTATCATCTTGTGAAAATATGGTCACAGTGAGAAGTCATCAACTTCTCATCCTGGTTTGAATGTCTCTGGTTATGGTAGTGCATGATTTGATAAGCTGTCTGTGTGAATTATATTAAACTTGTCTCTTAAAATTCATCTAGTTTATTGGGTTTCAGGAAAGGAGAAATCCTAATTTTTAGTAATTTTTTTATTGCTTCAGGTTAATTCAAGAATTAGGTTACAATGTTTGCATTTGTCAGGTAAAGTCCCTCTTACTATGTGTCTCCCTCACCAAGAAGTGTGTTATACATCCTACATTGTGCCCATTAAAGTGGGAGCACTCTTCTCCCTCCTCCCCTCTCCATTCTCCCTTGTACCCCTACTCCCCTCAAATCAAAATGAATTGACTTGAGTTTTTCTCTTATGAGGTTTTGTATCAGATCATCTACTGCCTTCACATCAGAATTGAGTACATTGGATTCTTGCTTCTCCATTCTTGTGATGCTTTACTAAGAATAATGTGTTTCAACTCTATCCAGGTTAATACAAAAGATGTAAAGTCTCCATCTTTTTTAACAGCTGGAAAGTATTCCCTGATACACATATACTGCAGCTTGTTAATCCATTCCTGGGTTGGTGGGCATTTATGCTGTTTCCACATTTTGTCGATTGTAAATTGAGCTACAACAGTCTAGTGCAAGTGCCTTATGGTAAAAGGATTTTTTTCTTCTGGGTATATGCCTAGTAATGGGATTGCAGGATCAAATGGGAGATCTAATTTGAGTTCTTTGAGGATTCTCCATACTTCCTTCCAAAAAGGTTGTCTTAGTTTTCAGTCCCACCAGTGATGTAAAAGTGTTCCCTTTTCTCCACATCTATGGCAACATCTGCAGTTTTGAGACTTTGTGATGTGGGCTATTCTCACTGGGGTTAGGTGACATCTCAGGGTGGTTTTGATTTTCATTTCTCTGATGATCTGGGATGATGAGCATTTTTTCAAATATTTGTTAGCCATTCCTCTGTCTTCAACAGAGAAATTTCTGTTGATACCTTGTGCCCAGTGGTGGATGGAATTGTTTGCTCGTTTGTTGTTGTTGTTGTTAATTTGAGTTTTCTTTAGATTATAGTTATCAACTCTTTGTCAAATTGATACCCTGCAAATATCTTTTCCCATTCTGAAGGTTGTCTTTTTGCTCTACTTGTTGTGTCTTTAGTTGTACAGAAGCTTTTTATCTTGTTTATTTCTGTTGTTGCTGCAATGACTGGTGAAGTCTTTGTCATAAAATCTTTTCCCAGTCCAACATCATCAAGAGTTTTTCCCATACTTTCTTCTAAGTTTTTTATCATTTCACGTCTTAGATTTAAATCTTTTATCCATTGTGAGTTAATGTTTGTAAGTGGTGAATGACATGGGTCCAGTTTCAGTCTTTTACATGGTTATCCAGTTCTCCTAGCACCATTTACTGAATAGGGATTCTTTTCCTCACTGATTTTGTTTGGTTTATCAAGGATCAGATGGCAACTAGAGACTGGTTTCATCTTTTAGTTTTCTATTCTGTTCCATATCTCTATGTCTCTATTTTTGTGCCAATATGATGCTGTTTTGATTACTGAGGACTTTTAATGTAGCTTGAAATCTGATAGGGTAATACCTCCAGCTTTGAAGAATAGCCTTGGCTATATGGATTTTTTTTTTTATTCCATCCAAAACAGTGTATAATTTTTTCCATTTCTTCAAAGTATAATGTTGGTATTTTAACAGAGATTGCATTGAATCAGTAGATTACTTTGGGAAATATAGACATTTTAATAATGTTCATTCTTCTCAGCCAAGAGCATGGTCTATCCTTCCATTTGTTAGTGTCTTCTACTATTTCTTTTCTTAACGTTTCATAATTCTCTTTGTAAAGGTACTTCATCTCTTTTGTTAGACATATTGCTAAGTATTTCATTCATTTTTTTTTAAGCTCCTGTGAAGGGAATTGTGATTCCCTTGATTTGCTTCTCAACTTGGCTGTTATTGGCATGTACAAAGACTATTGATTTGTGAATATTGATTTTATACCCTTAGACATTACTGTATTTCCTGAGCACTTGAAGGAGTTTTGTGGTTGAGTCTCTGGGGTTTTCTAAGTAGATCATATCATCAGTAAAGAGTGAGATTTTTGCTTCTTTTGCCACCATGTGGTTGCCTTTTATATCTTTCTTTTTGCCTGATCACATTTGCTAAAACCTCCAGCACAATGTTGAATAATAATGGTGATAGTGGACATCCTTGTCTGGTTCCAGTTCTAAGTGAAAAAACTTTCAGTTTTACTCCATTTAGTATGATGTTAGCTGTGGGTTTGTCATAGATGGCTTCAGTTATTTTAAGAAATGTACCACCTGGCTGGGCACCTGTGGCTCAAGCAGCTAAGGAACCAGCCACATACACCTGAGCTGGCTGGTTCGAATCCTGGGCCCGCCAAACAATGACAGCTGCAACCAAAAAATAGCCAGGCATTGTGGCGGGTGCCTGTGG